TCCCCCCCTCTCTCTATTCCCCCCTCCCCCCTACATGTAAAAAATGATGACCGGAGTCCGTTCCCGACAGGATGCCGTACCGAATATCCGGCTGTTAGACCCAACCCTTTTTGACGATGTATCAAAGCTCAACAGTATGCTAATGAGGTTCATAGACCATTTCCAAGGACTTGGAGTTGGTTGTTTTCGCCTTTCTCTCCAAGATGCCGAATCGAGCCACTCCAGTCGTAAGCGTCAGATCGGCGCGTTGCTCTGCAATAATGATTCTCATCTTGGGAATCTTATTCGACCTTACTGCATCTGTCTACTTTGGATTTAATATATATTTTTACCTTAGCACGTCGTACGCTTTCCAGCTTTCCAGTATGGGTGCTGGTGGGAAATTATACTGGAGATGGGGATACCCCCTACTCATTGGTACCTTGGTAAGTTACAAGTTAAAAAAACTAGCGAGGAAAATGACTCCTTTTCTAGCCCCCTCGTTTGTAATGTTCCTATTAACAACTGCATAACAACCCACTGATATCTTTACGCACAAACAAACATCGTATGATTCAACTTGCAAAACCAAGATGAGATGTGTTGTGATAACGAAACAGCTTACAACTACATGTGTCATGCAACGACTAAAGTTTCTTTTCAAAACAACAGAAAATAAGCTAAAATTACTTTTTCTTTAATTATTTTACTCAGTAAACTGCATTGTGTAGTATAGTTTAGGGATTTAGCGCATTTTCATTTGCTTTGACCTTTTCAAGCCATTACGATAAGGACGTCCAAAACGTCCACGAACTAATTAGTTTCTTTTTCTAAGAAATAAGAATACAGTCATTGGAATAAGGCCAATTAAAGTCGTTACTTTTTAGCGTGTCAGGAAAGATTGTTGAGCCAATTTTACTATAGAGTTGACAAAATCGTTTGGTTTTCATTGATAGTAATAAGATATTCAAAACAGTCTACAAAGCTTTTTGGGCAAGCGACAGGCTGTGATTTCTTCACATGAAAATTCATATTGGAATTAGGCAAATAAAGTTTGTTTTGCATTTTATAACATTTCATAACATTTTATAATGATAAGTTTACTATATTATTTTAGTAGTTTGCAAAGGAAAGCATTTTTCTTGGTATGACGCAGACGCCTGTTTGTCAATCCAATCTATTTCCTTGAAAAACACTTCTTAGAATATTTTTGTTTGAACTTGTATCAAAAGTGAATAATCCTCATTTCTGATTGGGCTAACGGCAGATGTCTGCATGCCAATCAAATCTCTTTCGCTTCTAGGAAAACCAGTTCTTAGAATGTACGTGTTTGAATTGCACCGAAAGAGTAAATAATCCTCATTTCTGATTGGCTA